ATATGTATATGTGTGTGTGTGTGTGTCTACAGTAGCCTATATACATACACCCTCTTAATTAGCTAAATTATTACTCATATATTAAAATAATCAAACTGTAACCTAAATTAGATAAACTAAATTAGTATAAACTGAATTAGATACATTTTAATGTATTTCTTATAAGAGATGTATTATAATAATATACTGTAACATAAAATAATAATAAAATAAAAAAATTTCACCTCATTAACTATTGTTTTAATTGAAGAACACAGAGTTCTTAATTTTTGGAAAAAAAACGAAAAAAACCCCCCCGAATTGTGAGTAATTTATTAATGTCTCGTGTTACTTGTGTAACCATGGTTCCCTGAGGGGAACGAGACACTGCGTCCTCTATGGGTCGCTATGGGGAACGCCTCGTCGTGACCCGTGTCTGAAGCCTACATTGAAAAAACACCAACTTGTTTGGCCGGCGACAGCCATGACATCACTACCGCCGCGACTAGTACAAAATAGGCGCCGGTAGCGCACATCATTCACTTCTTCGTCTGAAGCTTGTGTCCGCAGCATGGCACAAAAAAGTAGAGGACGCAGCGTCCTCTATGGGTCGCTATGGGGAACGGTTTACCCACGCCGCCATGCCGAGGGGAGTGCAAGCCAGAACCATGGCGAGCCACTAAGTACCAACCACACCATATCGCTACGGGAGTTGCCCCTGTCCTGGACTTAGACTGCTGTCAGTGACATTACTCCCGACGGCCAGAAGCCTAGGCTGCCAAGGGACATTACTAGAGCCTCACAGTGTGTTGCAGGTCCCACTGGGACAAGATTGGTAGTCGACCCAGGCTACCAGTAGTCTACCACGGGAACCAGTCTCTCGAGATTAACAGATTATCCTCTGGTGTAATGAGGGCGGCTGGCTCGGTGCCCAGAACTGCGGGACGGCAGGGGCCACCGTACCAGCTGTGTCCAAAGAAACCTCCTCGGAGGTGGCGCCAGGGCCTAGAGTCAAGAAGGATTCCTCCACGGGAATACGACCAAGAGCCTACTTATTGGATCAATTACTAGTCTTGGCCTGTCACTCAGGGCTACCTCACTTACAGAAGGACCTGTCTCAAGAGGCCTCTAGTGGAAACACCCTGTTAGAGTA